AGGGTCGCTGTGAGTCCGAGACCAGCCTGGGCTACATAATGAGTTCCAGGTCAGTCTCAACTACATAGTGAGACCCCGTCTCAAAAAAACAAAACAAAAAAAAATTTTTTTTTTTTGCTTTTACTATAAAACATAACACATTAGAAATATATACAAAAAACCCAGGGCCAGAGATTTAGCTCAGTGGTTCCACCACCTGCCTCACAAGCACAAGGTTCCAAGTTCGATCCATGGTAACAAAAACAAAAAACCCAAATCTACACTGACATCAAATACCGTGTAACTATCATGTGATAAGGAAGACACGCCCCAGAAGCACCCTCCCCTCGTGTCCTCTCCTGATTTACGTCCCTACCAGTGACATCCCTATCCTAACCTTTACACAAATAACCTCACTGCTTTTCATAAGATTTTACCAACTAAGAATTCACTTCCAAAGTCGACTTCCTTCACTTTTAAATTTCATGCATCAACAAAATAGTTATTAGGGGTTTTTAGACCATTCACATATCTTTCTTTGTTAAATGCATGTTCATATCTTAACAGTATTGTCTTTGAAAAGATTTTTTTAAAAAAGGTAAACTTCTAGCTACACGGATCAAGGGAGAAAAGAGATGACTTAAATTACCAATGTTGAACTGAATTGACCTAAACCAGCTTCTGTACTTAACCGATAAGTTTGGCCCAAAGTAGTCTCTGTATGTTTGTGAACTATACTCAGTTCAGTGTGTAAACAAACTGTAACCTAAGAGCATCCTTATAAACAAGCAACTGACTGTCAGCCAATCACAGGCTGCCTAGTGTCAAACCATATCCATAAAAGGCAAATGTAGATTACAGGCAATCAAGGTGATTGTGTGTGTCGCTTTGGGCTGCAATGGTACATCCATGGTACCTGGGGTACATCTTTGGGCTGGAATGCTGTCCAGTTCTACAATCTTTGTCTTACTCAAGTAAATTTTATTATTGAATTAGTCTGTTTTTCTTTCAGCACAAATAGCAATAAAAAAAGAGAAATAAGTAAAAATCTTAGATATTAATATGAGGGCTGAGGATTTAGCTTAGTGGTTCCACCACCTGCCTCACAAGGTCCTGAGTTCGATCCCCTGTGCGCGTGCACACACACACATATATGAAAATATTATAAACTGCCTACTAACAACTTAGTTTATATATTACAAAACAAATTAGGTATACACGAATACTCCAAAATAAACTCAAGTAAATTTCTTACCTCGTCCTTAGACCCATGTCCAACACCAACTCATTTGAAAAAGAGGACTACATATCAATTTAGAGGGGAAAAAAAATCTTAAACCAGGCTGGGGATTTAGCTCAGTGGTCCGCCCACCTGCCTTGCAAGTGCAAGGTACTGAGTTCGATCCCCAGTACCAAACACAAAACAAAACAAAATCTTAAATGACTACAATGTGGGCTGCACAAAGAATTCAGATTAAAAACATGGTCTTTTAATCATACAACCTTCATCTGGCTTAGTGATTGCTAGAAAAAATAAACATGAATAACAGACAACACTAGATTTATTAAAGATTGTAATACTACCATTTATTGGAGAAGGGGGAAAAAAATAATGTGACAGGAAAGGGGATAGACAGCTTATTACCAGTAACATTCTTTCTTTTAAATCAGTGAAGGGAAAACAATATTATATGAAACAGATTCACAAGACAGGATAAGTAGTACTCAAGAGTATATTTTGTGATACAAAAAATGGAATTACGCAGTCAGTAGCATTCAAAAGTAGTTGCATCTATACAATTACAAAAAGTGACTCATATTTTAACAAAGTGTTTTAAAACTTCATCATATTCAATAGGCACAGTATTTGTACAAATTCACCACAGGCTTCTCATTTTCTTGGTGCTAGGGATGGAACCTAGGGCCTTGGGCATGCTTGGCTCTACCACACTGGCCCAGGTTCCAATTTCCTTTTAATCTCAGAGCATGCCTCATGAAGACATTATGTGCAGGCAGCCAGCCCATTTAGATCACAGACAGTGTCCTTTGCTGTTGCTTTGTTTTCGTGGCTATTTATTAATACAATCGCATTACTTCACTGTGAATATATACATCATTACTGTTTGTTGCAATGCTTTGGAATGAGCTTCCACTGCAAACAGCAAAGTTTCTCCTGTCTACGGGACTCATTTTCCCTGGTTTCAGATCAGCCTGTCACAGAAACCCATTTTCAGGAGCTGGGGGTATGGCTCGGTGGTTGAGCTCACCTAGCGTGTACAAAGCCCTGGGTTCCATCCCCAGCACTGAAAACAGCAACAAAAACTTGCGAGAAAATAATGTGGTGCACTTCTAAGTCTGGGGTCAGTTCTCAACTCCAGGGGGAAAGGATGTGACTTTATTTTGTCAATTTGCACTAGCAAAGGCTCTGCTGCTCCCCACGCACAGCCCAGCAGGGGAAACCTGATGAGCCCACAGCAAAGCCTGCATATCAGCTGCTGGGCATCTGGGGGAGAACTGGAAATGACCAAAGTGGAACCAAATACCCTGTCCTCAGTGACCTGGGATCAAATCAACTCCGCCACTCTCTTCTTCACTAAGCTAACAACACACAAGAGCTCAGAACTTCATAAAACTACGAGTCCAGAGGTCCTTTAAGATTACCTTCTGATTTTAATAAGTATTTCCAAACAATTCAGACTTCCAGTATTCTTTGATTTCAGGAGTTACAGACATAATCTGTATTTAATTTCCACTGAAGGCCTATTCATTTTTTTAAATGCTATCCATAAACTATTGCTAAATAGTTTAAAAATCCTGGATGTTTAAATATTAAAAAGTATGCCAAAAATTCTAGCAAATGGCTTAATATACCTTTAAACACTGATTATTCTTTAATTTTCTGGACATTTTAAACTAGGCTGTGAATTTTACAGTATTTCTAACTCTACAACTGATTCTAGTGAGACGCTCTATGACAAAAGAGAAGATAAAGAAGGTCTGGTGTCCACTGCCCCGTAGATTACAAAGTCTGGGGCTGGAGATTTAGCTCAGTGGCACGATGCCTTCCTCACAAGTGCAAGGTCCTGAATTCAACCCCTGACACCAAAAAAGAAGTCTGTAGACAGAACTGTGCTTCAATTTCCCAGTTCACTACTTCTCATCACTTGTGTTGCAGAAGCAGCCGCCAAAGCAGCCAAACTCTCCACACTTTTTAAAGGTACCCTCCACTTGTTAATTACCCTAATGGCAGTACCAAAGATATTTGTACCTGGAATGCATTTCATGGTTTAACTTCTTGTTCTCTCAGCACACAGTGATTAGGTGGAAGGGAGTAGCAGTCAGGCAGATAATGCTCGAGGTCACCGTACAAGGTTGATGGTCAGATGTTCAGGCACTGAGATAACCACACACCAGGAAAATGCTCAAGTAGGCTCCGTGTCTCACCCTCCCAGAAATGAGACACCTCGAGCTGGGTCTAAGCAGCAGCCATACAGAGGAGCAGAAGAACCAAAGACTCCCCTGAGCTCACTCTGCAAAAGAAGCTTTTCAACCAGTGAGGCAGGAGAGGAAGTGAGTTCCTATTCTGGCTGATGGCCAACAAGCAGGCTCAGGACGTGCAGCCTCCCGGCTCTCTGTGGGGAGAGGGCTGCAGGGACCCCCCTGGAGGGCAGCAACCTCCCAATGCCAAGCTCACAGAGCCAAGAGGCCAGGCCAAGGAGCATGTAAACCCACGGCTCTACACAGCTAGAAGCCGTGGGAGCAGCTAGAGAGGCACACGAGGAACCGTGACCCCTCTGCAGACCCAGGAAGCAGCTGCCAAAAAAAGGAGGTAGAGGCAGAAGCAGGTAGGAGACAGAACAAGCAACATAAAGACAGGAACCAGAAAAGGCACAAGCTAGGCTGATAGCAACAAGGAAGAGTTCCAAGAGGTTACCCGGGCACAACCAGAAACATGCCAAGAAGCAGTCACAACAGAGGCTAAACTGGAGTCCCTGGGCTCCGGGCTCAGCCTAGCCACAGCTGTGTCTCTGGTGGATGCGGAGACCAACTTGGGCCTCAGTTTCTCTGACTGTACAGTAGGGTAGCAACCCTTCCCCCTCACAAGTCTAGGCTTCCGAGGTTGGCCTTGTGGGGCCAAGGAAGGCGAGGGACAGAAATGCACGGTGTGGCCAGGCATCTGGCTAGGATGTGACCACTTGCACAGTGGTGTCCTCAGGGTCCCCTGCTCAGCCTGAGGTCAAATGCTGGCACTGTTCAGGGGCAGCCACTTCCTGCTATCTCACACCAGGGATCTGTCTTCCTGCCCACTCTCCCCTGGCCCCACTCCAGGGGAGAAGGGAAAATACAATCAGTTTGAAAGCAAGTATTTATAAACAACGAAGAGAAAAAAAGTACAGGAGGAAGCAGCAAGATTTTTCACCTCCTTTCGGCTCTATTCAAAAGCAAGGAGCAGTGTTTTCTGTGACTTTGTTCTCATTTGACCTAGCATCAGAAGGTCACAAATAAAGATATGGGTGGGCAGGCACGGGGCAAGAAAAAGTTTCTGCTGTTGAACATCAGAAAACACATTCCACAGTCGCGTGTTTCAGAAGTGCAGCAGACCCTAGGTCCAGATTAGAAAAGAACAAAAATCACCAGAAGGTGTTTTTTCCACTGTATCCCTTGGCCAGGCTCCTCCTAGCCTGGCGTGGGCAGAATCACTTGTTTTCCAACATCAGGTCAGAGGCGTGTCCACGCTGGGTGGGGGAGTGGCGGTGGCCTCCAGGCTGAGGGACAAATATGGAAAATCCACGTTGACCCCAAAATTCTGTGTCCCTCACCGTGGCACCCCTGTGATCTCTGGAGCTGCCTGCTTCCACCAGGGAGCCACTGGCTCCTGAGGCTCTGCTGCCGATGTTTAGCAAGGTTTTATTTATGAGAATTCAGTGGGACACCATCCCAAGAGCAAACAGCTGTGGGAGGAAGATTCCGCTCCGTGAGACACAGAACCCACCTCTCGTCTGATGTTAGAGTCACTGGGTTTGGGAATCTACTGTGCTTGAAAGGTAACCCTCAAACGTTCGAGTTGCAGGCAACACACTAGTGTGAGATACAAGGCACATGTCTGTAAGACAGAGGTTGGGAGGGTATTTACAAAGCCGACCACCAGCTGCCAGCCTTGGTGCCTTCGGAGCTTTGCAAAACTGGAGTGAATTATGCAAGACACACAGTGAAACACTTCTTCACAGCGTCCCTAGAAAGGAAAAATAGAAGAAAGAATGGGTCATCCTCACCCATGCCCAAGGCTCTACTTCTGAGTGGGGAAGACCCTCCTGGGCACCAGAGCAGCGCACTACTGAGAAGAAAGCCCGGGACAGTGGGGTCAGACCTACCGGACCCGACTGCAGCTTCAAAAGGGACACCTACTATCCTCCGGGCAAGTTACCTGTCTGAGTCTCTAATTCTTCACCTGTCGTGGGAGAGTCTCCACTCACCCTGCAGGCCAACTGTGGGGGCTGCAGACCATCGGTATTGAACACACGATAGCTATCGTAAGCAGAGAAGGATGGGAAGGCAGCACAGACTGTCACCGGGGCCCTCTTCATCCCTAGCGGGCAGCCTTTAAAAGGACCCTTCCGGAGTTCCCCAGCACAGGTACTGAGCAATGATGGGCAGGTTCCATTTGCTCTGCGGGACTCAGCGTGGAGCGCAAGGACAGCGTGCGTGCTCCCGAATGGGCGTCTCTCCCAGCAAGCCCCTTGCTTCCCAACCACAGCGCCATGTAACATGGCCCTGGGCCACTCTGCCCAGCTCTGCGCTCGCTTACGGTGAGGACACCAGGCAGGGAGAAGGGAGTGCTGCACTCAACTGAGCAGTGCTCAACCCTAAGGTGGCGCTTCCTGCGTCACACTGCCCTGGAATCCTGGGAGATGCACCGCACAGAAAGGGTTTTAGGGCCAGAGCCCACCCCACCATGGCAGCTCCTGTAGCCCATTAAACAATCTGGGGAGCTGGGCAACGGGGTCCTGTCTGACCTTGCTTAACCTATCTCCCAAACTTAGAGGATCACAGAACCACTTCTTCCACAGAAACAGTGAGCACGGTGGGGAAAGCTACACTGGAAGCTACAGATGGAAGAGGAGGAAGATCCAGCTTCCTGATTCCTCCTCACAGTAATGTCATCTGCTCAGCCCATGAAACTCATTACCTGAAACAGAACTGCACTGTTCCGCCTACTCTTACACACAGGGTTTACACTCGCCAACCGAGAGCAAGCCGGAAGCCCTGAAGAGACCCGGGCAACCGCGAAGGGCTGTGTACTCAGAAGGGTCCACACTTTATACTTTATCTCGAAATTTTTAAATCTTTTTTTTTTAACAAGGGACCTACATTTTTATTTTGCCCTGAACTCTGAAAATTATGTAGCTGGTTCAGGTACCAACCAAGGTACATTAAAAATGTTGGTGGGTCGGTACGTATAGTCGGTGTCAGCTATGAGGGGTTCTGGCTCACTTCACATAGACGCCAGCTCCCCAGGACACCCCTGCCCGTGTTCTTCTCAAACAAGCCACCACCCCTGAAACCAGCAAGGTCTGCACGGAGTACCTCACAGGCGTGATGCCCCTCGACTCCATGCACAAAGCCCCCAGAATCTGCCTTTAATGTGAAATGTGACGGATGGTCCACCTCTCTTCTAATCAGTCAGCCCTCAGCACCTCCCACGCTGTCAGCAACACTTGGGATAGAAAAGACTGCTCTTCCTTCTTCCCAGCTCACGCCGGAGAAGTATGGAAATTAAATGGTTGCATTAAAACAGGCAAAAGTCACTGGCTGACTTTCTGAGAGGCTGTACATGAAAAGTACTATTTTTTTTTTTCCTTTTTGGTACCAGGGATCAAACTTGTGTCCTTGTGCTGGGGAGGCAGGCGGTGGAAACACTGAGCTAAATCCCCGGCCCCATGAAAAGTACTATTTAAAAAGCCTTGGGCTAGGGATTTGGCTCAATGGTTCCACCAGCTGCCTCGCAAGCACAAGGGCCCTGAGTTCGATCCCAGGTACCATTAAAAAATAAAAATAAAAATAAAAAGCCTTGGGCCGGGGATTTAGCTCAGTGGCACCACGCCTACCTTGCAAGAGCAAGGACCCGAGTTCTATCTCCAGTACCAAAAAAAAAATGTTTTTAATAAAAATAAAACAAAAATGGGCTGGGAGGGCCAGGGATTTAGCTCAGTGGCACCATGCCTGCCTTGCAAGTGCAAGGTCCTGAGTTCAATTCCCAGTACCACAAAAAAAAAAAAAAAAAAAAAAATTTTTTTGTGAAGCATCAGACCCTCTGAGCGGGAAGGGGCCTGAGGGATGATCTACTCCAACCCACTCAGGTTATCAACGCCTCCTTTGAGGTCTGAGTGGTCAGGGCCACACGGCTATCCAGAGTCCTGGTCCTCCTTTCTCTCCCTTTCTAGACTCATCTGAAACTTTTCCTGAGTGTAATGTGGCAAAAGAACAAGTATAAACTGAGACCCCTCCATCTCTTCTCAGGGACATTAAACCTTTAAAAAAAAAAAACCTACTCAAAGCCACAGGTTAAAAGAGTGATAAGGTGCACATATATATTTATACACTTGATAACAGAGTAGGAATGTTTTCCAAACCAGGAACCGGTAACCTGGTCAACACCCACGACAAGTCATATAATTAGGGTGACTGAAGGGGTGACCCTTAGCTTACAAATCTGTAAGACAGCACATAACCTTTGGCTATTTGGTTCAAGGCATTTTAATAAAGATAAATAATAGGGCCGGGGATTTAGCTCAGCGGTTCGGTACCCTGCCTTGCAAGGCCAAGGACCCGAGTTCAATCCCCGGTACCAAAAAAAAAAAAAAAAAGATAAATAATATACACTCTCTGAAACTAACTCTCTAAACTAAAAGGACCTGTGTAAACATATCGTCATCCACAACTGACAGAATTATATTTCCAAATACAGTCTTACCTTGCAAACGGAATGAAGGAGAGGCTATACCTACGAAGAAAAGCAAAGGAGATCAAATGGAATGAAGGGCATGGAAGGTCACCGGCGGAAAATGGGTTTCTGAGCTCCGAAGGCCTTCAGTGATTCCTTCAGATCTGCACTTCTCCCCGGGGTGGGGTGTGCATGCACACGCGCGTGCGCTTGCACACCCTTGTGCTGACACACTACATGCCAGGTGGCCACAGAAGCAGGGAAAGGCCAATGCAGAGACAGCCTCCCCAGGGAGGGGCTGCCGTCACCAGCACTGACCACTCCAAACAGGCAGAGTCCAGACACTCGGGTGGTACAGGAGCCCACTCTGAAAGAACTACAAATAAAGTCCAGAACAGCTGCCCTAACATTGTATAAACCCTCACTGGAAGTGAACTCCAACCCAATTAGGATACATTTTCGGCTCTGTTCCTTTTAACTAAAAAAATAAAAATAAAAATAAAAATAAAAATAAAAAACACTTCTAACTACTCTATGAATTAAAATGTCACTGAGTTACAATTCTTAAAGAACCCAAGCCCCGAGGTGCCCTGGCAAACCCACACTGCCCTGAAGGGTACGGCGGAGAGAGCTGCCTCACCACTGAACGGCCGGGACTGTGTGCCACAGAGCCACGGCACGCTGGAGTCGAAGGGAAGCCTCTTTCACACATGCTGAGCCTTCAATCCTGGCTGCACAATCACTCTGGGCACGTGGGTGCCAATTTCTGCACCCCACGGCAAACCAAAATATGAACGCAGCCATCAAAGCAGGCCTTTCAGCCCCTTCTACCACGATGTGTGCGCCATACTAAGTCAGACCGCCCCTCCTCTGCCCTGCACAGAAACCCGTTTACCTGTGAACAGAACAGGGCGGACTCCAAGAGGCAGTGTGAAGTGTATCTATTCAGAGTCCAGAACCGAGAAAGGGAGGCAGGGAGTTAAGCTTACAAGCTCAAGGTCCACTAACACCGAACTGGAGCTCCCTGATCCTGGGGAGCTTTGACACTTCCAGAGCCCTCTCTTTTCTTCACGTTGTGACAGATACTTTTTCCGCCACAGGTATCCTGAGACTGTTCTGGCAGAAACACCCCGACGCACTGTGAAAGTACCACAGAAATGTCTCCGACGCTGCAGGCTCCACACAGGCTTCTTCCCTTTCCCTTTGAGTTCCTCCGGTCCGAGCAGCTCGGAACCTCAACCTCCACTGAGGTTTTGAAAACCCACGTCCTCCTGCAGCCCTTTTCCAGGCTTGGGCAGTGAGTTCCGATCTCCTAGCTTCACTGGAGTCCCCAGGGCCTACAGCCCACAGCCACACGGCTTCCCACTCTTCAGCCTCTGCTCCTCCTCTGCTCAGGATGGTCCCCTTTGTCTTTCTGTTTAATGAATCATTCCCTCACATTATTTCGTGCTCCTCTCCCTGTCTGGTTAATGCCTATCTGACTCAGGGCCTCTTTGTAGCAGCCTTCAGCACACGCTTGCTGCCCCAGCACTTATGGGACACGAGTGGCTTAATAACATTTGTGCATCTCAAAATCACTCGTGAGCTCAGCACAAATGCCCCAGTCACAGCCTCCGTGGCCGCTCCAGACCGCGAATGCCCCCTGGTGGTGAGCAGCCTGGCTCTGGTGTCCCAGGCACCACTAACGCTTCATCTGAAAAGCCTCCGCGTTTTGCTAATCCTCCGCCTCCCACGGCACACGGGTTCTAGTCCCTTCGGCTGCATTAGTCAAAGGGCTACGTGGGAGAAGACTGCTGAAAAGGTTACCTACCACGTCAAGGCCAAGGACTGTAAAATGCAGAAGATGAGCGCAAGAACCTTTTTTTTCCACTGAAAGAAAGAGGATAGGGTTATAGGAAAACACATGGCAAGGGGCATAAACCTGAGGTGATGGGAAATTAAAATACGTACTTACCCAAAAGGCAGAACATAAGGTAAGTGCAAAGCACAACTAGAGGGAGAGAAGAAACATTCGTTACTACAGGGCAATGTCAATACTGAATAAAAGCCCTGTAAAGATGTATCACTCTTGCGGCAATGGGGTAACTCATGGGATGGTGCTATCAGCCTGAGTTTCACCAACTAAACCTTCAATTCATAGCATTTAACCCATGTGAGCGACCACAATTGGCAAGAGTTAAAATCAAACTAGCTAATCATGCAGAGTAAGGAGTGTAAGACTTGAATAAGCTAAAGTGACTCCATGCTAATAGGCCAGACTGTGCTTCTTCATGTGCTAATTGCTAACTTGGCTAACAGCCTGCCCAGGGGCAATTGGTATGACAAAAGGTGACTGTAGAACATTTCTCGCATGAGATAAGCAATGTGTTTGGAATCTTGTCCTCTGGTAGTTCTGTGAATGCCCTGACTTTTTGCTTAGAAAAACCCTATAAAAAGGACCTCAGACCCGAGCAGTGGCCTCTCTGAGCTACCTGGCTCCGGGAGTGCCTTCTGGCCAGACTAATAAAGGTCTCTTTACCATCTAGCTGGTGTGTTCCCTCCTGGGTTTCTCATTTCTCCGTCGAGCTCCCGGAGCCTCGCTGGGTGTTAGGGCCCAGCATCGTGGAGGCCTTTTTGGCTGTTCAAGGCTTTCGGAAGTAAAGCCCTGGGTCTTGCCTCCGGAGCCATCGTTGGGCTACAGAACCCAGCATCATGGAGGCCCTTTCGGCTGTTCACGCTCCATGGAGTGGAAGTGAGACTTTAAGTCTTACAAGGAGAGATAACAAAACCACCTTTCCTGCCCACACATCATCCATTCCATCTTTTCGTTCACACCTACTAACATGAGCTTAACACGAGCGTCTGCATCTTAACTCTTGCCAACCACTAGTCTCTGGTATAAAAGGGCATGTGAGTGTCAGGAGCATTCTAGGGAAAAATCATTTCATGATTAGAGTATGACAACAGCTCTCTAAGGCCCAGTGTTGCCCTGCCTGCCGGCCGGCTAGGACATGCAGAAACATAACCATGCAGAAATAAGACTCCATTTTGCCTCTGGTCACAACTGAGGCCTCCATGGTCTGGGAAGCTGTGGCCTCAAAGGCAAGATACCATCAACTAAAGACATTCCGGTCCCTTGAGAGCCCAGTATTAACTCAAAAGAGAAAAGTTTCCCCTGGAGAGGCACAAATTCCTTATCAGCTCAACTTCTCCCACCTACTGTCCTGGGAATGCTCTCCTTTCTGCCCTCATCAGCATGAGATTTGCCTCCATATAGTCACCGCCTGCTAAGTCACCCCATACTCCCTCCAATTACTGTGTGCACCCAATAAATGAGGACTAGTATAGAGAGTCTTTGTCTTTGCCTACTCCGAGGCACTGACTTCCTGGCCCTCCATATACTTTGAAATTACACAAGTCTCTGTTGTCTGTTTCCTCTTTAGCCCTCCCTGTCTCCCTTTGTAGGAAGTCTGAGGAAAGGATCTGATATGAGGACAAGGTCAATGTGCGATGTCAGTCTCGGTCAAACCAGTTACTTGTTTACATGTCACCTGACCTCTTCCCTAAGCCCTTAGAAAGCTCTTTATGCAAGACACCTGTTCAAGCCGAGAACAGGCGGTGCTTGAGCCACCAGCTGTGCCTTCCACCTCTGCCCACCAATGACAGAAACCGCGCACCCGACACACCCAGGGTATGTCCTTGTTGACATGAAATCAGCAGCACGCGTGGTCATGACTCTGGAGAACGAGAACGCACCTATGTGAACAAGTGAGCTGTATACAATAAACTCAAGGTATGTCGTCCAGATGTTCCAATGTTGATAATTATATCAGGAGTCCAAGGGATAGAGTCTGAAATTATTTTGACAGCCACACGGAAGATTTTTTAATGGGAGGGGCGTTCCGGGTTAATGGGACAGGAAGACATGGCTACACTGAAGGTACTGGTATTGGAGCAGGACACAGAGTGGAGGCTTCACTGCAGCAAGACTGATGAAAGCGAGATCTAGATCCAGTCACACAATGATGAGGGGAAAGCCTATCCTCCACGACTGACTGAATCCACAGGGTGAATCCAAGTGTTTCTGAGTTATTCCCTCGAAGCTCTGCCTGTATGTGGCTCCGACCGGAAGGAGACCAAGCTCTTACAACTGCATGGATTGCGAATGCAGCTGGCAATGCCCTCTGTGGGTGCTTGGTGGACCTGGCAGTGCCTTGACACCAAGGAGACAAAGGCAGAGAGGCAGTGGGGCTGCCTATTAGGTGAAGAAAATGCTTCCCCCTGCCATGGGGCTCCATAGATTGGGCAGTAAGATGAATGATGGGGTAAAAAGGATATCCTTACATTTAAGAGGGAAACAATTCCACGCAGCAGAAATAAAAGCTCCCATGTGAGAAGCACAGATGAAAAGCCGAACTCACCAGCACCAGGATCGTCGCAATCAGACGCGTGGGCTCAAACATGCGCTTCAGCTGCTTCATGGGGCCCATGAGGAAGATGGTGCTAAGAGGCAAACACACGGGCAGCTGCTCAGAGAAGAGCACAGCCTCCAGGCCCATCTCTCTCTCTCACACACACACGCACACTCACACGCACACAGCTCCTGCAGCAGGAGCGTCTGAGCAGTGCACACTCCGGGCCAGCACTGTGCTTACAAACCTCTCTGCTTTACTCTCATCGACTCCATCAGCACCCCATGGGGCAGGAACGATGAGCCGTTCAGGAGGTGTGATTGAAAGATACAGCGAAATGTTGAGATTTTTTAAAATTTACTCTATTAAAAGACACACTGAGGGCCTGGGATTTAGCTCAGTAGTTCGGTGGCCTGCCTTACAAGCACAAGGACCCGAGTTCAATCCCTGGTAACAAAAAAATAAAATAAAATAAAAAAATAAAAGACACACTGGGCTGGGGATTTAGCTCAATGGTGCTGCATCGGCCTTGCAAGCACAAGGTCCTGAGTTCGATACCACAAAAAAAAGAAAAAATTAAAAAAAAAAAAAAAAAAAAAAAAAAAAAAAAAAAAAAAAAGACACACTGCCATGGATTCCCATCACTTCAAAAGCACTTATCCTAGCTGGTGTGGTGGTGCACACCTGTAATCTCAGCACTCGGGAGGCTGAGACAGGAGGATCGCTGTGAGTTCAAGACCAGCCTGGACTACATAATGAGTTCCAGGTCAGTCTCAACCACATAGTGAGACCCTATCTCAAAAAAAAAAGCACTTATCCTATTATGCTTGCCACGCTCTGAAGCAGTTCTGGAAGTCCTCTTTCATGAAGTTTATCTTTCAACTTATTTGCTCATGGTCATTTTGACTTTGGGGAAGGGCCAAAAGTCCCATGGTGCCAGATCTGGTGAATCAGGTAGATAAGGACAAATCATAAAATTTTTACTTGATAGAAAATGGCATAAATCTTTTGAATCAAGACAGCCAAGGACAGCACAACTAAAGACATTTACAAAAGAGCATTTCCAGAACTGTTTCAAAAAGTGGCAAGAATGATGGGCTAAGTGTGTTCGAAAGAAAGAGGAGTATTTGGGGGCATTAATGGAAGTGTGTCTTTTGCTGCCATAATTTTTTTAATTTAAACACTCACCATGTATTTTGACAGCCCCTTGTATTTTACAGAAGAGGAACCTGTACAGCGGGTTACAAGTCCACGCCACCAGACTAACGCAGACAGAGCTGGACTACAGTGGCACTGGCTCCCTCTTCCAGCCACACTCACAGCATGGTTCAATGCCCTCTCTGCAAGGGGCCACCTTGCCTTCTTGACAACCTCCCAATGGGAACCAAAAACCAAAAGGCTCAGGTAATTAAAAAAAAAAAAATCCATAGGCTTAGGTCCGTGATGTTAAAAAGCAGAGCATTTCATATTCTTTCATAATCTCCTAAGAGTCATTTTAATGACAATACTATTATTTGTCAAATATTTGCTAAATACCAGATAATACTCACTTTTCCAGTTAACTTTTTTTTTTTTTTTTTTTTGGTACTGGGGATAGAACTCAGGACCTTGCACTTGCGAGGCAAGCGACAGACAGCACCACTGAGTTAAATCCCCGGCCCTCCAATTAACTATTATTATACTGTACTTATTTTGCAGATGTAAAAATGAGACTCAGAAAGGTTAGCTTACTTCTCCAGGATCACACAGCTAAGACGAAGAGAATTAAGATGTGTTATGCACATGTACCAAGTCCCCACAATAAATGTAATTATTAGGTACTGCAAACATATACTAATACAAATTTTTTAAATTAAAATAAAAAATTTAGTGCAGCATATGTACAAAAAAAGTTACAGATTTCAGAGAAGATCACAAACCCCTAGTTTCTCGCAGGAAATAACCATATTCTCCCTGCATGACTTCCTACACAGTGCAATGAAAAGTGAAGTCCCTTAGGATTCACTGCAGCACTCCTGTGGACTATGCCACGTACCGTGTAATTATGCTCAGTCCAGACTACACATTCAACCTACACTGCCCGCCCATAGCAAACTGCCCAGAAGTTAGTATTTGGGAAACCACGAGAAGCAACATTATACGTCTCTGAGGGCCAGCACCTTGGTGTCATAGCATTAATAAATTAACTTCACGAAGGTGACCGGAGTCATGCACTCAACCATCAGTTTGACTTTTCCAGCCAGATGTAGACATGGCTTTGGGTACAACTGAGGACAAGTGAGAGACAGGCTCAGCTCTTGTCAAATGACCTAGACGCGAGTGTAATAAAACATTACCTGTACTGTCACATAAATACCCCTAAAGGAGGGGGAGGAGGAAGGCATCAGGAAAAGCTTCCCAGAAGAGGTGGCTTTTGAGCCTGGTCATGAAAATGAGCAAGTATCCAGCCAGTCCAGGGGCTGTAACTGAGTAGCTCCACGGCCCAGCAGGAACAGCCTGGCTACGGGACTGAAGGAGGCACAGAAACCCAGCAGAGGGATGCTGCAGGGCTCAAGAGAGAGAGAGTGGGCTTGAGTGGGGCCAAAGCTAAGAGCGCTCAGATACCGCATTCTCTCAGACACCCTGCCTGACCCTGCTCATTGGGACCAGCTGCCCTTCCCTGGCATCCCCTCTCCTGCTTGGCACCAGTTTATACAGCTGTCTTGACACCTGGCTGGCCTGTAAACTGGCTCTATACAGCTGTCTGACACCTGCAGGGTAGGGAACGAGCCCTGTTTATCTTTGTAGCTTCAGAGCCTAGAGCATAATCAAGTCTTCCCCAGTGAACATCAAAGCCAATCAGGGAGGGACAAATGGCCACGGGGACAAAGAGAAAGGGAAAGGAGCCAGGTAAGCAAGGTCAGTGCCCAGCCTTGAGGAAATGTCTTGAGGAGTAGGGTAGCTTGGACCCCAGACCTCTGCACCATTCAGAGGCACAAAATGACCAAGTTGAATCGGAGATGTGGGGACAGAAAGGGCTGAAGCCTCAGAGTGAATGACCTGGACCCGGGGTGTCTGCACACCCACCAGAAAGCACCCACCCAACGCCCTGCTGCACGAGCTGACACTCTGGGCTGTGCTGCTAAGTTATCACCAGGTGAGTGCTTTTAGAACCATCCGCTTGGCTCTGCTCTGATGGCAGCGAGACTACAGCAGCGGGGAATCCATCCAGATGCTCCTGCCTCAGCTTTCCCCACGAAAAGTCTCAGTAGTGATATGTTTCTCCTGCTTTCTCCCCAGAAAGACAAACTAAGACATAAAATATTTTGAAATAATATGCACAACTGTCATGAATTCCAACTACCACTCTCCAAATCCTTAAAATCACTCGAGCATCCTCCTTCACTTCCCTCAAACACAATCCGCACCCATTCTTTCCATCTACTGACTGGGGAAATTGGGTAAAAAAGTGCTTACCTCCCAATTGATGCGATGTTACCCATGGTGTAAAACACTGCGAAGAGGGACATTCCCTTACCGGGCACCCATAGCAGAAAAGTTCCCTGGAAGATAAGCACAGGGCATTTGCACATGAGCAACTTCCCACCACACCCACACAGGAGCGCACAGGGGAGCCCTCCCTACCATCTCTCTCTCTCTCTCTTTTCACAGGACCAGGGCCTTCGCCCTGAGCTATGTCCTCAGCCCTTTTTTATTTTTAATTTTGAGACAGGGTCTTGCTAAACTGCTAAATTCCCCAGTTTGGGCTTGAATTTGTAAGCAAGAATCCTCCTGCTTTTGCCTCCCAGAGTGCTGGGATTACAATCAAGCACCACCACGCCCAACCTTCCTACCCATGTATTTTAGTGAAGAGCAAAAGAGAAAAGGAAACTGATGAAAGGGTGAGAAGGCAGGGAAATCTTACCAACAGTGAGCAGAGAATTCCTATAGCAAAGCATGCGATGAATCCTTTTATCCTGGTACCCCAGCTTAAAGATGATGCCTCGACCGCCTGAAATTTCAAAGCAACAATTACATATGCATATTTACCAGATACAGAGGAAGCACAAGATTAAATTCAGAAGTGGTGTTAATTTGTCCTGGAGGACAGGGAGAACAGAATCCTACACTCTGAGAGCTATAGGGCATCATCAAATCCAGCTCTCATCAAGGCTGTAATCTCTTGTCCTCTCCAGCAGCTCCCTGTGCCTCTGGCCAAGCATCTCCAGAGGTGAAGACTCCTGCCTCAGGCACAAACAAGGAGGCCAGCCAGCAGGCCCCAGGGCAGCCTGAAACCTTTGGACAGCCCAGCAGGAGCAGAACCACAAGTGGGAAGGCCTGAGAGCCACTGGGCAGGGCCCACAGGGTGCACCTGGGGGCACTGTCATCCTCTCCTAGGTCCAGCAACCCAGCTGCAGCAGGTGCTGGTCCTCTAGCAACTCTGGGAGCTCAGGGCAAAGCCTGGCATCCTCACCATGGGCCTCCATGCCATCTGTGCAGGTGCTGGCACAGCAAATCACCCACGTGTGAGACAGAACCTCAGTACTGCTCTGTTCATCCTCTCTGACTCTGAATCCCCGCTCAACCACTCCCCACCCCAGCAAAGTTCAGGGGAAACCAAGATTTCCAGAAATGCGGCATAGAAAGACAGGAAAGCGTGTGAGCAGCTGCCAATGGTTCTTCTCCCACGCCAAAGATGACAACCAAGCCCTGACCTTCCTAGTTGTCCCTGTGACACAAGAGGGCACTGCTACTCCCACCTGGACCGAGGCAGCTGCATGGGTGGCCAAGCCCAAGGCAGACCCAGGCATATTCATCGGGGCTCCCTGGAGCCAGCACAGTCTCCACCCCACACCGGGGGTCAAAGCTGCCGGCTGCATCCCACCCTGCAGATGGAAGGCAGCGGTGGTGGGAGAGAATGCAAGGGATGCTCTGGGACCTGTTTCCAACCTGTCAAACCGGAAACTGGAAGAGAAGGGCCAGAGGCTCCCCAGGTGTGGCAGGTACTTCTGCAGGATGGCTTTGCCTCACTCAAAAGAAAGGTATGTGGGTCATTAAAAGGGCTCCCTTCCCGAAGCTCCCGTCTGCTCACAAGAATTGAAATGGGCTCCTGACACTCAACCCCGCAAGCGTACCGCACCAGCACGAGCTTGTGGCAGCAGATGACCCTGTACAGAGCACACTCGGGATGGCACCATCTGTTTCCACACTGAAGACCTCTCCGCCTTGAGTCTGTTTCTTAAACTCTCTCAGGCTCCAGAATGAGACACCTGACACTGTTACCAGTTCGTACTAGACCCAAATGGAGTTAGATCCCTTCTAACCAACCATAGCACCGCCCTCCAAGGTCAGCGTAAAATGAAAAACTAACCCCTCTTCCCAAAGAACCAAAAAACTCACCTTGCCAGGGTGAAAACAAGAACAGAGCTGCGTGCAAGGAGAAAAAAGTAGCAGCAGACTTAGATTGGATTTGGTATCTGAGCACTGCTTCCCATATTCAAAGAGATCAACCTTTTTAAAAATTGTTTTTAACAGGCTATGGTTAAATATCTCATTTGAATTGGTCTTGGCACTCAGAATGCTAAATAATCTCGATGGGACAGTGAGATTCCAGCGCTTATAAAAAAGTCAAATCGCCAGCAAGAGGGAGCAGTTCTGCCAAAAACATGTTTCTACTTTCAGAAAGGAAAGTGACACTTTGGTTCCACCAGCCTGTCCAGGTGAATCCATCCAAATGTTTCCTTTCATTTGCTAATATGGGGAGGGAGGTCATTTCACCATTGTGTTCTTCACTGGATGTGGTTCCAAATTCTTTGACCTGCACACTTGGTCAGAGGCAGGAAGCCACTGTTCCACTTCTAAATGGACTGGGTGAAAGCAAAATAATTCTTTTTGAAAATGAGTTCAGTTAACGTAAAACATCTCAGTTGCTAGAAGGTGCACTAGCGCACAGGTTGGCTGGTTTGTTTATTTTGGTTTTGGTTTTTAGTGGGGAGGATTAGAGGAGCTAACAGTACCTGGAGAGAATCTGCAGGCCGTGTGTTCACAAGGTGTCTGACCGGCAGTCAGGCACAAAGGTCCCTTTGATGACAGGACGAAGAAGAAGGGCTCTTGCCAAGAAGTAAAGCTGTGAATTATTCAAGAGACTGGACTGACTGGTAAACACGACAAGGTGAAAAAGGAAGTCTGTTTTATTCCTGTGATTTAAGGTCAGGTACTGTTCATATCTTCCCTGCAACAAGAACCCTTCACAGGAAGCACAAAACATACTTTCAGGAAGAAGTGAGAAACTAGGACTTGAGCTGTGTCTGTGAAGTATCAATCAGAAAACTCCTCACAAGGCTGTTTATGATTAGTCACAGCTATGCCAACTTTATATCCTCCCAGGAGAGCTGGGTGTGAACTACTCAGACTTTTATGTTTGCATCAAAATAAGAATTTTTAAAACCTCGGCACTGGTGGTGGTGGGGTTATATAATTGAATGTGAAAAGATTTTAAGGTCCCCTCCTCTAGCTTACCATACAAATTAATACCACCACAGAATCCTCCAACGTTGATAACCTCAAAACCATGGCCAATGTGAGACAGTCACATTAATAGCGATATTCTAAAGGAAGCCCCAACCTAGTAAGTGAAATAAACCAAAACAGCCCAAAAAATTAAGCCTGTCTGCTACAAACTGCCAGGAGTTCGAGTCCAGAAGCACCACCCAATGAGAAATACACAGGACTCACACAGGAAGAGAAAACTGACAGCAGTATTTCAGAACATGAGAAAAGCACCTAATCTTTTAAAAGTAGATGTAACATCTGCCTGCGTTTACAAAAGTTAAGCCCTTCATTGTATCACAGGTATTCACCATTTGGGGTAAAAACTTAGCATTGTTTTCAAATTGTAATACAGCACTCACTCTTGATGATTTTCTAACTATGCAATCAATGCCTGCCTGCATCATCCCGAGGCCAACACTTGACCCTCAAGAGTGTCGGGAACAGTGTTTCTCTCAGCCCAGATGCTCCTAACAGCTTGCTGGCAGTCTACGGGGCACAAAGCCTCAGAAGACAAGGAGGGTCAACTACAGTGTCAGACCTGTTCAACACAAGCGTTCATAAAAGAGGCCAGAAACCAATCAAAAAGATCCCGAGGAACTATCTCTTGAGCCCTGGAGGAACCAGAATCAAACAAAACAACCTTCAGGTTAAAATCAGCCACAAAAGTGGGCGAGAGCAACGGGCTGAGAAAACCAGGAGAAACACTGATTCAAGGGAGAGGGGAGACAGGTTTCCAGTTGAAAAGGTTTCCACCTTGCTCTTTCTCGACGCCCTCATTTTACAGATGGGAAAACTGACACACCAAAAAGTAAAACGTGATTGTCTTCCAGGAGGGAAAACCAAAAGCAAACGGTGAGAGCACCCAGGATGGAAGCAGCTCGATCGGTGCGGCTCGCGCAGTCCTTCCGGACAAATGAGCAGGGAGTGCCGGGGACGCGCGCGCCTGCAGAGTGCGGGCGCGGACCCAGGGGAACGAAGGAGGCTCGGGGAGCCCACAGCTGGGCCGGGAAGGGCACGGGGCCAGCTGCACATGGTCGGGGCGGAGGTCACAGGGTGTCCCGGGGTGTAGCCAGGGACTGAGAGCTGAAGGGCAGCACAGGAGCCCCAAGAGGGACGGGGTTCTTCTCGTGGGCCCCTGGGCAGAGGAAGGAAGCGGGAGAGCTGTTTTTCCGAGTAGTTCTGGGGTCCCCGCCTTGCCCCGCGTTCGCAGGGCTCTCACCTCGGACAGGCCGTTCCGGTCCTCGGTGTCCTGCCCGCTCAGCACCTTCTTCAGCTTGTCCATCCCGAGCCGAGCCCGGCCGCTGCCCTCCGAACAGCCTGTTGCGCTTCGTCCGCGGACCTCGCTTC